GGTTGGTGTGTGTGTGTGTGTGTGTGTGTGTGTGTGTGTGTCTGCATGGAGATTGAATGAGCCCCTGAGATGAGCTCTGTGGTAAATTGTCTTTAATAAAAGGAGTGAATTGCTTCTTTACTCATCAGACAAACAGAGAGGAGGGGCACATGCAGCAGCTGGTGCCGGCGCATTAACGGACCGTATCATCGTGTGACCACTGGGGCTGCTGGCTTACACAATAACACTTTCATATTTATGTTATTGTCCTGTTAATACTATATAGAGCATATGTGAGCCAGTTACAGGAAGCTGTTATGCTTTCCTGCACAGATTCTTTCAGTTTTACATAAAGTTTAGGTTGTGTTTATATTGCAGGTAAAGACCTTTTCACTACATTTTGAGAGTTGGAAAAGAGCAGCTGTTTTAGAAAAATTATTTTCATGCGGTTTTTTTGGATGTCCGTCCGTCCGTCACTTTCTGACCATATGCATACTGACCCTTGGCTAAGCCCCGCCTCCCGCTGCTGCTCCATCTAGCTGTCAGAGCTACATTACCATGGAGCCCACACCGTCACTCACTGAATAAATATGATCTCATTTTGGGGAAAAGAGAGAAAAAGCAGACAGAAGGGTCTGCGATATGCGTTTGAAGGATGTATCCAGGATGAAAACATGTTAAACATTTTAAAGTGAAGCACCACATCAACTGAGACCCGAGACAGAAGACCTAAACGATCACAGTATGTAACACGTGCAGAACTGACGCTATCGTACGGAGAGCGTCACAGTTTGAAGCGCGCGGTCACTGGCGAGCTGCTGTGTTTGACGAGTTTGGAGTGAGAACGCGTCGATACCCACAACCGCGGCGACCTCCGCACCCTTAAACTCAGTGTATACTCGCCGCAGTGCGCGCCAAAGGATGACATAACCACGGCGGGGGGGCAAGCGGTCACGGCGCTCCGTCGTGCACCTCTTATTATTGTATCTTGGCACCGCGGGCGTTAGAAACAATCTAAGTAAATATTTAGCAGTGATGCATTTAATACTTGACTTGTTTCTTTACAGGGTTCGTATAAAGGCAATAAAGAAGTTTATGAATATGAGATATGAGTTTATAGATAATTACCATCCCTCCTCGTCACTAGCTACAGTCTATGTTCATATCTCTGAGCTACACTTGTTGTCTTTTTGAGTTAGCTTAGCACGACATAATCACCGAGGATAAAGAACAAGAAATGGATCAGAACTTTTATTTCATATACAGGGCAGACATTTGATTCCAGAGTCTTTAACTTGTTCCTCAGGCTGACACAATAAAACCACCAATTAGTGCAAATGTCTTCGAGGTATAGAGCACGCTGGACCGTAATGTGGTGTGTTCGTCTACCTTAGAACACTAAATAATATAGATATTAATACATGTTTCCTCTCTACTCATCTATCTCGTCTCCTCTGATCTTCCACTCTCCGTAGATCACTGATTTAATCTCCATCTCTAGCGCTCTGTCATCGTAATAGCCCCCCCATCTCTCCCCTCATCATCCCTCTCTTCCACCTTTGCCTATTCTTCACGGGGCTGGATAATCCCCGCTCACCTCCCTCGTTTGTCTCTCTTTCTTTTGCCTTTCCTCTCCCGTCTCACCTGCTTCTCCTCTCTTCTCCTCCCTGAGATGCTGCGTCCTCATTGAAATGTTGCTGAATAAACCACAAAGAAAGCTTTAGTCTGGGGGGGGTGGGGGTCTATTTTCTCTTCTTCTGTATAAAGTGTTTGGTGACTTTCTTATGCTGTCGCTTTTCTAGCTTGTTTCTAAGCTCTGCTGCAGATCAATACAACACATCCGCTTCTGTTGAGGTCGAAAAGGAAGCTCAGTGAATAGAAAGTCCCAGATTACAGCTGTCAACGTGGGTCACACTCACATGACTTGTCGTTGCTTGTGCTTCGTCCCAACAGGGAATTTAACAAATTCAATGTCAGTATATTATATATAATCCATCTCTTCTGTGGTGCAGGTCTAGTTGAGTTAAGGCAACAATAACCAGCCCATGAAGACTAGAGACAGGTCATGGAGACTAAAGACAGGTCATGAAGACTAAAACCAGCCCATGA